TGGCGGTGCCCGGGGCCGTGGGGGCCCCGCCACTCTCCCGCAGAGGATCCCACAGGGAAGCTTCCAGGAGGAGTGTCTGGGCTGTTGGGATGAGTATTACTCCTGGGGCTGTCCTTTTCGCTGCCCACTTGCACGGCCTCTCCCGGCTGCCTCTTACCCTCGATCCGGGGCTGCCGCCGTCTCTGAGCCACTACAGAAGCGCGGAGCCTAGGTCCCGGCTTCCCCGGCTCCAGCGTGCCTCAAACGGACCAGAGCAGCGTTTACCGGTTGCCTGGCAACCTGGGGGTGGGGCGCGGGAGCCGGGGCGGGACTCTGGCCAGAGCCCAGGGCGACCCAGACCACGTGACTGTCCTCCTCCGCCCTCATCTGGAGGTCTCTAGAGTTAGTATAAAATTGGACCAACAAGTTAGTAAAACACCAGGAATAGTAATTAAGTTTGGCGAAAATGTACATTATGGAAAAAACCCAAAGTAACTTTGCATGGATTTCACAATTTGGGGCACCAAAACAAACTCTTACCTTAATTCTTTTTTTGTTGTGGTTGGAGAGGTTTCTGCTATTGCCAGAGGCGGTATCTGAGGGGTCCGGGTGACGCCAGCTGTGTACTTCTGCACAGAATGAGGTTAACCCGAGTTCAGGGACAGATGCCGAGCCGACAGAGGCAGGCCAGGGATGCGTCATCCAAGCGGTGGGATTCGAGGTTGGAACTGAGCCTTGGAAAATGGCTGAGCTGCAGGGAGAAGGAGTGGGGGAACATTCCAGATGTGTGGGAGGCTTGGTATAAGCTGAGGGGCAGGGGCTAGATGGGAAGTAGGCATGGGGGACTGCAGGGAGATCAGCTTGACCAAGGCTGGCAGTCCCTGCAGGAGGAAGCTGAGGAGGGATTTGCAGAGGCCAGTTGGGCCAGCTTGCGGGGCTCCTGAGAGGCAGTCCAGTAGCCCCCTGGAGGAGGGCTGCAAGGGTCTGAGGGTCTCGGAGCAGTGAAAACACAGGCCGGGAGCACGCCTCCCTTCTAGCCTCCCAGCCTCTGTAGTGTGTGTCACCACCGGCACCTGCCACCAAGAGGGGGCGTGCAAGGAAAGTCCCAACTACTGGCGCCTGGTGGGGCCACTCTGATTAGAGCCAGTCCCCAAAGCAGCTGCTGCCACTACCTCTCCTCTGGAGGCGGTGCTGATGGAGTGGCAGGCGGGTGGGGTGCAGCTGAAAGCCCCACTGAGAGGAGAATACAGAGAGATGGTGGCATGGCTCCTCCCCTGGGGGTTGATCTCTCGCTTTCTGTCTCTGTCTCTGCAGCCAGGGCACATACCCTATAGCAAAAATCTCTGTCTAAAACAAGAAAAAAGATCACTGACTTTGAACTTTAATTAAGCAACGCAATATACCCCACCCAAAGAATTTCACGTTCGGTGGGGCTTTGGGGGTCAGAGAGGCGGGACATGGACCCACTTTGCGGGAGGCTGCGAGCTGGTTGAGGGTGCAGGCACAGGGCACCCGCCCCTGGCCCCAACACATTGCCCATGGTGGCAAGGTTGAAAGGAACCTGCAGCGGCCTTTGTCACGCCACCAACATTTTAGAACGACACTTGCAGAATATGCACCGAAGTGTTCGTGGCGCTTCGCTCTGGGTTGTTGGATTCTGGAGAATTGTCACCTTCTCACACATTTTGTAAAGTTTGAGATGTTTGCCTCTTTTTTTTTTTTTTTTTTAAAGTTTTTTTGTTTGTGTTGTTTTCTTTTTTTTTTTTTTTTTTTAAAGATTTATTTATTTATTTATTCATTTCAATTTGACCAGAGAGAGAGAGAGAGAGGAAAGTAAGAAGGGAAGCCACCAGGTCCAGGACTCGAACCGTTGTTGGCCATGTGGGAGTGTCCAGCACCTTAACCACCACACCACCGGCTGGTCCCTGAGATTGCAGGGGTTTTTACCAAAATGTCTGCATAAGACCTGGAACTGTAGCTAAATAGTGCGGATCGTGTCAGACGCTGTGCTCCCTCATTCGTAAATCCTTAGAAATGTCTGGGCCCAGAATGGAGGCCACGCCAGGTTTCCAGCAGTTAGCAGGCGGGAAACTACTGGCGGACAGTAACCCTTCAGGCCGGGCAGGCCACAAAGATACCGTGCGGGTAACTCAGTGACAAAAGGCAAAACCCATTTTCACATATTCTTGATGGATGAAATGAAAAACATTACAATAATTTACTTCTTTCTGTAGTACAGGTGTATGAATGAGAAGAATGAAATTCTTTGGGTGGGGTATATTGTGCTGCTTAAAGTTCAAAGTCAGTGCTCTTTTTTTAGACAGATTTCTGCTATCGGGTGCGTGCGCTGGCTGCAGAGACAAAGAGAGACAGAAAGTGAGAGATCGATCTCCAGAGGAGAGGCCATGCCATAATGATTTACTTCTTTCTGTAGTACAGGTGTATGAATGAGAAGAATGAAATTCTTTGGGTGGGGTATATTGTGCTGCTTAAAGTTCAAAGTCAGTGCTCTTTTTTTAGACAGATTTCTGCTATCGGGTGCGTGCGCTGGCTGCAGAGACAAAGAGAGACAGAAAGTGAGAGATCGATCTCCAGAGGAGAGGCCATGCCACAATGTCTCCTGTATTCTCCTCTCAGGATTTTGGGTATGCACGCACATGCGCCCGGCATGAGTTTTAAGCTGTTGGTCCAGAACTCGAACCCTGGTTGACTACATGGGAGTCCAGCGATGTAACCATTATGCTATCTGCTGGTCCCAAGTTAGTGCTCTTTACCATCAAAATTGGCTGCAATTTTAAAATTTTTCGAGACACGGTCTTGCTGTGTCCCAATCTTCCTGACTCAGCCTTCCAGCTCCTGGCTTACAGGTGGGGACTGTTATGCCTAGCCTTTAGGCTGGACCTGGAATTGAACCCGGGCCTCCCATGTGGTCCCAGCCTATAGCGTAGTATCTTAGCACATGCCACTGTGGCTGAGCTCATTTTTTCTTCCAAACCATTTTAAAAAGATGAAAACTGGTCTGACCAATAGCCTACTGGTTAAAGAAACAAAAATCACTTGGGCTGACTCTGTGGCCTGGTGTATAAGGAGCCAGATTCCCAAGAGCTGACAGTAGCCTGAATCCTGGCCTTGGTGGTGTGACGAACACCCCAGGTATCTGTGGGTGTGCCTAAAATCCCAGCAGGATGGAGAGAGAGCAGACTGCAGCCCGACCGCGCCCTACTGCGGGTGGTTCTCCTTTCTCTCAGGTGAGCCCACGCAGTCCCTGGCAATTAAAAACTATGCGAAAACTGTGGTATTTTCATACCCACAGGCCACAGGGGCAGCAGGTCAGGCTGGGTTGGCTGGCCCCTGGGCTAGGCAATCGATGCTTTCTTAGTTAAATGAGTGGAAGGAGGAAGCAAGGAAGGGAATCTTCTCTGGGGATGTCTGCCAATGGCCACACCAGGCCTGAGCTCTGACCAGCGATCTTCAGTCAGAGGCCACGGTTACACCCAGCCGCTCCTGTAATTAGGCGGGACGCAGCTCTGGAATAGCACAATTGGAAGGAAGGAACTGCTCTGTTGGCTGCTCCACGAGGGCAAGGCGGCCCAGACTGAAGGCAATGAGGCCCAGGATGACAGCACAGCATACACTCCCTCCGGCCAAGGCTCGTTCTCAGAGGGGCCTGAAGGAGGTCACCGTTTTCGCTTTCGCTCCAGGACCAGCATGGCCTCCAGCTGGCTGTCCCCGGTCTGCTGTGCTCTGGCTGCTATCAGGATGTGACCGGAAGGGTGAATCCAGCAGGCAGGACAGTGGTGCATCAGTGACACCCTGCCCCTTGGGTGGGAGGCTGGGGCAGGCTGAGAGAGACAGGGGTGTCCAGCAAAGCACCCTGAGCCCTGCCTCCAACTCAGGTCTCACCCCAGATCAGAGACTACTGAAGGCTGAAAGCCTATCCCCTGTGGGGAGGGAGCTGCACTTCCCTTTAAAGCACTCTTGGTGTCCGGAGACAGGTGAGGAGGGAGGCGATTTTTCGAGGAGAGGTGGGGCAGTCTGAGAGGTGGGGCAGCCTGAGGTGAGCTGGCTGCTATGAGCCTGACGTGGCTGCTGCATGGGGCTCTCTGCATCTCGCCCCACCTGCTCCCCAGTATGCACAGACTGTTCCCTTCAGGAAGCGCCCCAGATGCAGTCTCTGCGTGCTGCTGCATGGGAGTGAGCCGTTGTTTAGGGACACTGGAGGTGCCGTGGTCGGTCAGGCCGAGGTGGTTCGCCACACACCACAAAGACAGCATGAAGGGTCTGTGTCCCAGGTGCCTGGGCCTGGAGGCACCCACGGAGAACAAGAGTTTAGGCACGGGTACAGCAGGACCTGCCACAGTCTGGCTGTGTGTGCCTCGCCTGACAGACTGCCGCTGTGGGACCGCCGTCCAATCCGTGTACCCTGGAGGTGCCTGAGGCCGGTGTGGGGCCTGGGCTCTGGGTAGACACTCCTGGCTCTCCCGTTCACTCCTACCAGGTCCTTACTCTGGAAGAATCTGTTGACTCAACTGTAAAATGAATGATCACATCGAGTTATGGTGAAGCTTAATGAAAAATTAGGGACTGAGGGCCAGCTGGTGGCATGGTGGTTAAGGCAGCTGGATCCCACGTGACTATGTGGTTCAAGTCTCAGACTCGGTGGACTGAGAATCGTGTCAGGTGTGGGGCCCACAGGTGGCATGGGAGTTGAGGTGCTGGACTTCTACATGGCTGACTGTGGTTTGAGTGCCAGACCTGGTGGCTTGCTTTCTCACTCTCTCTCTCTGTCTTTCTCTGGCGAGTACTTGTGTCCTATAGCAAATTAATAATAATAATAATAATGAATCAGCAGATGATATGATTATATCACTGAACTCCCATGTAGTTGACTGCAGTTCGAGTCCCAGACCCGGTGGCTTCAAACTCTCGCCAGATCTGAGTGTGTGTGTGTGTGTGTGTGCCCAAGATCCTGAGAGGAGAATAGAAAAGGGATTGCAGTGTGGCCAGCTCCCCGGGGGGGATGATTTCTCGTTTTCTGTCTTTCTGTCTCTCAGTCTCTCTGGTGAGTGCTTATGCCCAACAGCAAAAATCTTTCTTAAAAAATCCCTTAAAAATTGATATAGCCTCTAGGGCAATAATAGCACAATGCAAGTACTCAATAAACACTACTTAACGACAGTAAAAGTAAGACTTTGTGGGCCTGGAGAGAGTCTGGGCACAGATAAGACCACCCTTGTCCAGGTCCCCAAAGAGCAGCCGGAGCTCACGCCGGAGGGCCCTGCCGCTTGTCCAGTTGCCTCTGTGTTTAGTCCTCCCGCTGCGTGACCTGCCAGGGGGACTGTCCAGGACTTGGGACGCGGAGGAAGGTGGAGACGCTCACACTTTAGTACAAGCGATTTATTTCCTCAGGGGAGGGTGCACATGTCCCCAGAAGCCTGCCCACAGGCTCCCTCAGGACCCCTTGAGCGGGTCATGATTTACATGCATTACAAACAACCCTCTAGTCGCCAAGGAAACATTAGGAAGCAACACGATGACACCACAGAGCTCCCGTGGGTGGCTATAGCAAATTGGTGGGTTTACGGACATGGGTTTACGGACATGGCGTGGACAGATGAATACGGGCGAGACACCGGAGTCCTGGCCCCATTCTGTCGCGGAGCTTGGTCAGTCAGCATTTTGATGACAACGTGGCCCTTCCGAAAGGAAGCTGAGCACTGCCCCAGGCCAAGGTGCCTGTCTCTGTGGCTTGTGAGGCCAGGGGCACCGCTGTCGTTGGGCTCTGGCAGGCAGGAGGTCAGAAGCACCAAGACCCAACCTGGACCTTCGGTGGGTAGGATGGTGGGTCATTATGTCCTCCTGGCCAACAAGCTCCTCCTCTTCTAGCAGGTGAGAGCCCAGGACACTGGGGAGGGGGCAGGAGGTAGGGATGAGGCTGTCCTCGCATGAAGACCCAATCACACCGCTGCCCCAGAACCTTGTATGCCAACCTCGGCAGACTTGCTTTCGGCTAGTCCTCTAGAACGGGGGACTCGGAGCGGTTTCCTTTCCTTCTTAAAGGGCCCCCTCCCTGAGGGGATGACCACCCCCCAAGACAGCAGCTTGAGACTGGGACGTTTTTGCTGGTCTTTAAAGTTCCACTCCTCCCCCCTTCTCCAGAGCCATAAAGACCTATCTTGAGCCGGCAAGATCTGCAATATATTGCATAGAAACCGGGCCCAAGGATGGAGCCCCAGGCTACTATAAAACTGGATGTGCTGAGCTTTAAGTCTTTGGATAATGAAAACGTTCAAAACACTGCGGGAA